CTTTGTATTAATTAATTAATGACTTGACGCTGAACTATTTATTTTAAGCATGATTTTGAAGACTTTTATTTATAGTAAAGCTTTATTTTTGTAATTGTATTAGGCGCTAAAAAATAATGTATTATAATTCGGATTTTCGGATCGGATCCAAATAACCGAATTTTAATTTGGATTGGATCGGATTGGATCGAGAGAGAAATTCGGATCGGATCGGATTGAAAAATTGAAAATCGAATTATATTTCGGATTGGATCGGATTTGGACAAAATCCAAACCGAAACCGAACGGACACACCTAATCAATTGTGTGTTCTTAGTTTAGTACTTTAGTTTGGGTGTGTTTTTTATGATATTTAGTGTTTCACCCTTCTCTTACTGTGAAGAATGGATCAAGTATGTCAAATGGCAGGTGGATAATTTTTTAGTAACCGACTAACCGGGACTTTTACCAAATTAATAAAACTTTGATAACTTGCAATTTAAAATCTCAATATTACCTAAACAAGTGCTTATCATATTTTAGATTTGGGGCTGCCCAAGTTTATCAATTTGATAAAAAAATGAAGTTTATTAAGGGGTAAAAGCGTCATTTTCAGTTGATAATGAAGGGTGTTTATGTAATTTAATAATCACAGTTAACTAGCTGTTGTTATTGTTCCATCTTCATCTTCTTCGTATATTTCCAGCCATTACACAACAATGGAGACTTTGTCTCTTCCCCACCCACCTTCATCTTCTTTGCCTCCTTCTTCAAGTTGCTAATATGGAGATTTCGCCGACCTCAAGTACCTCCATTTTCGACCACAATTTAACGAAATCCCTAAGATAAAAGGGAGAAAGTAAGGGTATGGTTAACCTTTAAGGGTAGGTGTTTATCGATTTCTTGTGAGCTTCTCTTCCCCCATTGAAATCTTCATTGAAGTTGGTGTAACCTTATTCCTGAACAAGTGGATGTTTGTGAGTTTCACTTCCGTCAAATAACGTCGTGAATAGTGACAATTGAACATAAGTACTACACTGAGTTTTTTATTATATAAGCTCAAATATCAAGACCAAATATTTACATAATTGCCATTTGATAAACATGTCATGTTTATCAAATTGATAAATTTATATTTCCTCTTTAGATTTTATAACAAAAGAATACCATCATTAATCATTAGTCTCATTACCGACCTTTGCTGCTTTGACGCACCATCAACATTAGTATTGCTTGATTATGTGAATGTTTGAATCTTGAGTCTGTACTATTACATGTACTAATTTATACTTTTTTTTAAGATTGAAAAAGGCAATTTAAGTGCAACAAAAGAATAGGCCGGGACACTTGAGCATCAAAACAAGCGACTTTAACGTCTATAAGGCCCTCATCCATCTATTTTAGTTTTTAGTCTTATATTAGTGATATATTCATTTAGGGAAAAGCTACTATAATATATATGCGAAGTTTTTTTTAGTGATTGTGTTGATTTATATATATATATATATATTTGGTAATTAACTATGTACTTATTATCGTTGATTATTTTTTTTTTAATCTACTAATATAGAATATTTGTTTATTTTAATTTTGTCTTCATTTTAATTTTAATTTTAATTTTATTTTTAATTAATTTAATTTATGATAAATTTATATAACTATAATGTATATGTGATGTTAATAATTTAATTAGATTGAAAAAGAAAAAAAAAACAGAAAAAAAGCTATAAAAAAATTCTAGACGCTTTTTAATGTCTACATGATTTGCACATTTTCATATTTTCAAAAGTTTCACGCCATACCATAGGCTAACACAATTAAAAGCAAGACAAAAAAAAAAGTGTCACCAAATTTGATTATATGGACATGTAAAAGCCTCCTTAAAAATTAGACAAAATTCGGATAATGCGCGAAATAAGCAGTTTTCGATGCTTCATGTATTTTTTTGGACACAAAAAAAGTGTCGATATTCTCGACGCTTTTTGAGGTCCCTCAAAATTCTCAACTCACGTATTCTCGACGCTTTTTAGAAGCGTTAAGAAATTTTTTTTGTGACGCTTTTTAGTGTCGAAAGCCTAAAAAGTGTCCAAAACACATGCTTTTTTATAATAGTGAATATAAAATAAAAATAATAATAATAATAATAATAATAATAATAATAATAATAATAATAATTTAATACTTCTTCTGTTCTATTAATATTGCAACAAGGAGAAAATTACGCATCCCAAAGCACATTTTATATGCTAAATATCTATGATTGTGTAAGAGTAAAAATTATAAAAAGTTGATATTGTGAAAGTATTTTATGAGATGAATCCAATAAAATCCCACATGACTATATTTCACTTGATGTATAAATCTATATTATAAGGTCAAACAAGAGTGATGAATAGTGCAAAAAGTCCATTGTTGCAATATTAATAGAATAGAGGAAGTATATCATATCATATCACAATAATAATAATAATAATAATAATAATAAAAATAATAATAATAATTTAATATTAATAATAGTAATAATAATAGTAATTGTAATAGTAATAGTAATAATGTTGTTCGGGATACCCTAGTTGATATTTGCTATCGTTCTGGGATTCCAGCAAGGAAAGAGGTTGATGTCTTGAGGGAACGAGGAGACCCTTAGACCTGCAGATGTCTTATTTTATTCCCGGGATCGTGGTTGCGATGTTTGTGTAGATTTGACAGGATCTTCTACTTACACCTGCAGATGTGTTACTTTATTCCTAGACGGGTTTTGGCTGATGCAGCTCATTAGAAGCGGGTTAAGTGTGAAGCTCATTGTCAGGCAATTGGATATGGTTTCATTCCCTTCTCCTTTTCTTCGCTTGGGGAATTAGAGAAGGAGGTTGTTGCGTTGCAAAAGCAAGTTTAGAGGTTCTCGATGACGCAAGACATAGGAGCATGTGTTGTAGCTCATATATTTACTATGGTAGGATTTCCTATATCTAAAGAAGTGGGAGCTCAGATTGTATCTCGGCTTTCCACTAATTTATTGTAGGTTGTATGACTTTTGTTTTTGAGATAATAATAATAATAATAATAATAATAATAATAATAATAATAATAATAATAATAACACAATAATAATATATCATATCATATCACTAATATATAAAGCTGATCGCGCCACATATGCAAGAATAGATATTATTGTGACACATAAGATACTAAATAAGTGATGTATGTTTGGATAATTTTTTTTAAAGATAAAATTGGTGTAAAGAGTTTTATCATCAATAGAATTCTAATATTTTATATATGCAAAATTAATCATAACTTTTGATAAATATCTTATAACTTTATTCTATTTCCATCATCAAATTCATTTTAAAAAGTTTTTTAAGTAAGATTCATTTATAATATATTTATTTATTTTTAAATAGAGAATTAGAATAAAAAAAAACAATTTAAGTACAATAAAAATAATTTCAAGTCAATAATAACACATATATTCACAAACTAAACTACAAAAATTACACTATTGTTTAATTAAATAAGCGATATGACACTGTCTGTCTAAATATCCTACATATCAAAAGAGATTGTAATACTATATTTTAAAATTTATATTGAAATATTAACGATAATCTTGGCATCGACCGGGCACAAAACTAGTTATATGTAAGGGAGTTTTTTTCCGAGTATTTTAATAGACATGTATGATTAAATTTTATTAACGCACCACATGCAGGATTATAAATTTTAGTTATAGCCTATTAAATAAGAGAATTGTAAATTCTTTTACAATTAATAATTCAAATGCCACATAAGAAAATTGGCAAATGAAAAATTTTAAAGTTTAAATTAAATAAATATAAAATATTATAATTTGACATTAGGAATTTTATCTAAGTATATAAGAATGCGATGAAATCCCTATTTATTTAAAATAAAATTATTAAATGATATAATACGTACAACAAATAAAACAACAAAATTGATAACCTAAATACAAAAATATTTTCGTAAAAGTACAATAAATCGTGCATCGCACAGGCTTTATCCAGTAATCTATAACTTATACTAAACTAACAACCGCTGATATCATTCTATTTTAAAACTAGACACATGTCAGGTTATTATTAAAAAAATTTCCTTCCGAAACTATAAATGATGTCATTGTTTTGTAATATTTATTTTATTTTATTAAAATTCTGGTCAATTACATTATTATTAGTGTCAAATTCTGAAAATTTTGTTTTCCTTTTTTTTAAAGGGAATTTAATTTTGTCTTCCTTGAATACTCTTTCATCATTTAATTTTTCTATGAGCTTTATTTATTTGTTTATATTAATATTTGATGTTTTATTTGTTTTGAAAATATTTTTGTTTTTAATTTTGATATAAAAATTAAATAAATTAGAATACGACCTCCGTTAAATGTTATGTTCAACTTTAGAATATTTTATATCTCAAAAATAATGCCCCAAAGTTGCACATAAAAATTATCGGAGGTAGCATTTTATTTGATCAAATCGAGCATCGCAGGAGATTAATCTAATTCCCTATAGTGTGAACCACATGGAAGAAGGATGGCATGGGACTGCAAACTCTGCAGTGACGAGGAGATGAACCACATGGAAGGAGGAAGGCATGGGACTGCAAACTCTGCACTACATTGTGAAGCTTGGGCATGCTTAGAAGCCATGAAATGGGCTAGTGAAATGGGCAAGCAAGGCCTCCTTGTCCTCTCGTATTCAATCTCCCTCCTTAACGACCTTCAAGACCAAAAAGGTAAGGATATAGAGATTTCGTGGACGGTAAGTGAGATAAAGAGATTGGGTGCTTCTTTCAAAAGATGTACCATTCTAAAGGTCGCTAGAGACCAAGTCAAGAAGGCAAATAACATGGCTAGGATTTGTCGCTTGAACACGACTAGTCATATTTAGTTTTGTTTGTTCTTTTGCTCTTGTAAAAAAAAAAACCAAAAAAAAAAAGAAATAAAAATAAATTAATCTAAATATAATAATAGTAGTAAACAATTTTTAGAACAAAAAAAAATGATGGTGATGATAACAACTATATCACTATATCAGCAACTATAAATCTATAATAATAATAATAATAATAATAATAATAATAATAATGTCGCCCTTTCCAGGTGACCTAGAGGCTAAGAGTCTAAGACAATAATCGAATACTCTAAATCTCTTGTTTGTCAAACTTTGTCCGAATATCAAACATAAAAAAATTGTACTCCAAAATAGACGGGGAACCAACTAAAGTTCCTTACTCTTACTCCATTCCCTACCCACTTTGTTTGAATGATCAACATTTTCTTCAACATCAAAATCAAATGGGAAAGAGTCATAGAGGATAGCCATTACCGTTAAAATGTTGTTAAGGTACAACTGTGCACCTGAGCTCAAGCTCATCGTTACCGCCCTCCTCTTCTTCTGCGCCGTTGCCACCCTTTTTCAATTCCTACCCACCCGATTTTCTCCCTTCTCCACCTATGTCACACTCTGCCCCACCACCTCCAACGTCGCCACTGCCACCACTTCACCATCACCCCAACAACCCTTAGATCATGTCCTCGAAAACGGTGTTATAAAACGATCATTTTACCCTGTCGGTACAGCTGCGTACAACTTTATCTTTATGTCAGCCTACCGCGGTGGTCCTAACTCCTTTGTCGTGTTAGGACTCTCCTCGAAACCCCTTCAGAAATACGGTAATCCAGCATACACTTGTGAATACCAATACAATGATGGCTCTGTTATTATTGTTCCAGGTAATAAGCTTCCTCTCGATGACTTTGGTTACGGTCGAACGTACGTACTAGTAGTCGTGAACTGTACATTCCCTTCAGACACCGACCCTTCTACAGGTGGCCGTCTTCTCTTCCATGCCTCAACAAACGGTGGCTATGATCGTGTTGTTAACTCAACCGACACGATCATAGCCTTAAACGAACCTCCTAACTCATGGCAACCTTCTCAATTCTCCTCTGTTCCAAAATATGACTACCTCTACTGCGGAAGCTCATTGTTCGGCGACCTCAGTCCTCAGAGAATACGGGAGTGGATCGCTTACCACGTGAGATTGTTCGGTACGAAATCCCATTTCGTGTTCTATAATGCAGGGGGTATCCACCCTGAAGTAATGAACGTGCTACAACCATGGATTGAACTCGGGTTTGTTACCGTGCACGATGTTAAAGAACAAGAGAGATTCGATACGTTTTATCACAATCAGATTCTTGTTCTGAATGACTGTTTGCATAGACATCGTTTCGCTACGAAATGGATGTTCTTCTTTGATGTTGATGAGTATATTTATTTATCAGGGAATTCGTCTCTTGATTCGATCATGGAGTTGCTCAACGATTATACTATGTTCAATTTTGAACAGGTTTCTATGTCTGATCGACTGTGCCTTACTGAAGATGCTGGCCAATTTCATAGGTATGTTTATTTCAATTGCTGGTTTTTTATTCTATAGATTTTGGTTGATTTCTGAGATTTTTTGTTTTAATAATGACTTTTGACTACACAATTACGTAGGATTGAAAATGTTAGTTTTACTTTTTTTAATTTATTGATCAAATAGGGATAAAAAAAATTATATTGACTCCCTCCATGTTTTTTTAAGTGTTACACTTTTCATTTTCGGCCGTGTTTTTTTAGGTGTTACACTTCATTTTTTTGGCAAATAGCTACATTAAAATATCATATCTCCTATCATGGTCCCCATTCAAACCCACTATTACATTTTTATTATATCTTTCCTCTCACATTCATTACTTTTCAATAAATTATTAACCCCACAATCTTTCTTTTATAATTTTTTAATACTCCTACTACTCCACTTACTTCTTATTTTATTTAAGTCAATTAAATTTCCTAAAATTATGTGTCGGTCAAACTATAACACTTAAAAAAACACGGAGGGGGTAGTGATTTACAAATAGATACTACCTCTATGTGTTTTTCAAGTGTTATTGTTTGACTGACACATAATTTTAGGCAATTTAATTTAATTAAATAGTGAATTGCTATATATCACCAACGTTTTTTATCAAACCGCCGACAAAAGTAATTAAGGGACTAAATTTCCCTTACTCATTTATAAGTCCATCAAGCTTCAAACTCAATTGTCAACCACCAACACCCAAGCCGCCACCAGCCATGCAATGATGCAATAACAAGTATTGGAGTTGATTAGGGGATTTTGCTCCCACCAATCGGAATGCGCCACGTGGGCCAATCAGGTCCTGCCAAGTGTCCCCCAGTTGGACATCTCAGGGCTTGCCACGTGGCACACGCTTATTCGTCCACCCTGGACTTATTATGTCATGACACGTGGCATACTCCATGCCTAATGGAGAAGCCGGTCACCTAAGCCCAACTTCCGAGGGAAGCCCAATCAGCCCAAGGTTAACCTAAACCTAGATTGGCACGTTTCCCGAGGTTATAATTACCTCCCTTAATCCTCATTAAGGGAGAGGACGCGAACAACGCAGATTACACACATTAAACACTCTCACCTAGAGAGACCCAACCACTTTAATTTCCGCATTAATTACTCCTTAATCAAGTACTAACTTGACCGTCGGAGGCGGATCTCCAACCATCCGGAGCATCCGTTTGTTTTGCAGGTACAGGCGTCCGGTTCCAGTCTCGGAATTGTAACTCTCCCGCAGGACATCAGAAAACCCCGAAACATTTTGGCGCCGTCTGTGGGGAGAGTACTTCTGAGATGGCACCCACGTTTGTACCGGCTCCTGAAGAGAGACGTCCCCTGGACGATCTTCTAGTTCAGTCGGACCACGATACTGAGAATGAATTTGAAGTTGAAGCTCACACAGCTTCAGACGGGACCCTAAGGGCCCGACGTACCCGTCATACCGAAAGGAGGGAACGGGAACATCTTCAAACTGGAAGCGAGCCAGCAAGCGCACCGCCTGTTCGGCAGCAGCCGACTGATGGGTCTGCTCCCATCACAAGGAACGAACTCATGACCTTCATGAGGGACTTCAAGGGAGAACTTCACAAAAGGGGGTACCTTCAACCCTTCTTAAAGTGTGTTACTCCAGAAAAGGGACGAGAGATATTAGACGATCTTCACTCTGGTTACTGTGCTTCCCATATAGGCGGTAAGACGCTTGCTCAACGGGCAACGCGGCAGGGCTACTTTTGGCCTACTTTAGAAGCAGATGCAATGGAGATGGTGAAAAAATGTGACAAGTGCCAAAGGTTTGGCAAGCTAATTCACCGTCCGGCTACTGACCTCACTACCATTCATAGCCCACTACCGTTTGCTAAGTGGGGCATGGATATTCTGGGTCCATATACGCCTGCTACAGGCGGAAGGAGGTACATACTTGTTGCCGTTGACTACTTCACTAAATGGGTAGAGGCGGAGGCTGTAAAGGGAATCAAGACGAAGAATGTAATTTCATTCATTTGGAAAAATGTCATCACTTGGTTCGGGGTTCCCATGTCTATGGTTTTTGATAATGGTCCCCAATTTGAGACGCCTGTTCTCAAAATCTGGTTGGGTGACCAAGGAATTGCACACTACTTTGCATCTGTCGGCCGTCCACAAGCAAACGGCTAGGTAGAAGCCTTTAATAAAATCATCTCAGACGGTCTCAAGAAAAAGATTGAACGTGCAGGCGGCCTATGGGCGGATGAATTACCACATGTTCTCTGGGCCATTAGGACGCCTGAAAAAGGGGCGACTGGAGAAACTCCATTCCTCCTAACTTATGGTGCGGAAGCTGTTCTTCCAATAGAACACTACGAGCCGACTCTTCGAGTAATGCTATATGAAGAAGAGGCAAACTGGGAAGCCATGCGCCTGGCATTAGACGCACTTCCTGAAAGGAGGGGCAATGCTGTCTTGCGCCATGAAATTTACCGCCTGAGAATAACTAGATCATACAACAAAAAAGTACACATGCGTCCACTCAAAGTGGGGGACTTTGTACTTAGAAAAATGGAAGCAGTTGGAAGGGCTAATGAGTCTGGCAAACTAACTCCCAACTGAGAAGGACCCTACCGAATCTGTGAAGAGGTCAGGGACGGTACCTACCGTCTGGAAACACCAGACGGCCAACCGTTGCCTCGAACTTGGAATGAAGATAATCTTAAGAAATATTTCTTTTGAATGATATAAATAGTCAAGGGCTACTTAATAAAAGTTTGCATACTTAATATTCAATTTTGTACTAAGAGGGGCACGCCTACTAACAAACAGTCGGCTACTCTCCATACTCAGTTTTTATTTTTACTTAAGAGGGGCATGCCTACTGACAAACAGTCGGCTACTCTCCATGTTTAATTTTTATTCTTAGTTAAGAGGGGCAGGCCACCTATACATTTACAGTCGCCTACTCTCCATTGAGTATTTTACTCTATCTTCAAAGCATGCCGTCTGTACCTTTACAGTCGGCTACTATCCATTGAGTATTTTACTCTATCTTTAGAGGGGCATGCCGCCTGTACCTTTACAGTCGGCTACTCTCCATTGAATATTTTACTCTATCGCCATAGGGGCATGCCGTCTAGATATATAGTCAGCTACTCTCCATAGAAGAGGGCCGACTGGTTCCAAAGCACACAGCCACCCCCCTTATACTTAGCTAAAAATGATCAGGGCTTGGACGACCCTGTGCCTAAACAGGCGGCTACCCTCCTCTTACTTAGCACCTTCGTTCACCAAGAACTAACAAAGGCCACAAGCCGAATGATCAGTCCAGGCGCCAACCCAACTGATCCAATCTTTAAACTAATACGACCTGTCCCAACATCATAGCAGGCGTCCGGCGGCATCCCTCCGGATGAAATTCTTCGCAGAGAGCAGCTCCCTTTTGGGTGGAACATTGCTCTATAAACTAATTACACGGCACCTATATGACTGTCCCCAAGGGCAACCACGTAGCCGTTTTTGAGACAAGGATAACTCTATCACTAACCAAACCAGTGGTAGCAGTTGACATCTGAGTCAGATGACCGCTTGTATTACTTGGGATAAATGAAGGGGGTACCTCTTGAGTTAATAGCCAACAAACATTGGCAAATCAAAAGGTTCAGCCGGCCTCCGCCGCCTGGTACCTTTACTACTCAAGCAGGAGTGACGGCGACTGAGTAACACCAAAGTTAACTCATAGTCACTCTCTCAAACTTAGTATGGAGCCTAAAAGGTATGAGTCGTCCGCCTGTTTTTAGCAAACAGGGGCTCTCAACCACTACTCCTGCTAGGTTAACAACCTATGAGTTAAAAGCCAACAAACATTGGCGAATAAAGGGGAACAACCGGTACCCACCGCTTGATACCTCTACTACTCAGTTACTTGGTCACTCCTTAAAAATTTAGTATGAAACTAAAAAGGTGTTCATACAGCACCTGTTCACACTAGATTAAATATGGAGGGGAACAGTCGGCCTAGACGGCCTAAAGTCTCTAACCTAAAAGCTAGTCGGCCTAGTCGGCCTAAAACCACTTTCCTACTTGGTTAATTTTACAAATGACAAGACCGCCTGCCTAAAGGGGATCCAGTCTTTAAAATGTTTCGAATACCGATTGGATAAATGGCCGACTGATCGTCTAGCCTGGAAACAGACAACTAGTCGTCCAGGGGCATAGGCGGCGTGACTAACTATCCGTACCTGTCTGCAACTATCGGCCATGTAAAACAGTCGGTATAGTGTACAATTGGATATCAGAATATTCAATACTTAAACAAATTGCATAAGCGGCGTGACTAACTATCCGTACCTGTCTGCAACTATCGGCCATGTAAAACAGTCGGTATAGTGTACAATTGGATATCAGAATATTCAATACTTAAACAAATTTGAAGCAAAACAAAAATATTCATTCAAAAGAAGCCGGTCATTAAAGACCGGCAAAATATTCAGAGCCCCGGCCCCCTGGCCGGGTAAATACAAACAAACGGCACGCAGGCCAGGGAAAGAAGACATAAAGCTTATGAAGGGGGCAGATCTTCAATATTAGCAGCTGTCGCCTGGTCAGCACTCTTTTTGCTGGACTCGGCTTCAGCTGCATCCTTCTTTGATGTATTACCCCCAAGCGGCACAAGCGCCACCACCGGCTGCTCCTCCTCCTCCAGTGCCTCTTCCTCAGCAGCCGCCAGGATCTCTTGATTATATCTATCAGAACACTGGCGGTACGTTTTTTCCCATGAGGCAAAGTCGGCATTGGGGAAGAGGCGGCCCCAAGTCATGCGCTGGATTTGAGCAGAGTCTTCCATCATCTCCCGGACCAGCTCTTTCTTTTCTTGCTCAGCCTTTTCCGAGAGCTCCTGAGTAAGACTCTTCTCCTGGGTCACCAGGCGTACCTTTACGCTCGCCAAGGATTTCTCCAAGGTTTCGTATGAGGACATCTTTTGGCGAAGAGGTCTCAGCTCGGCCTTGAGGTTGTTGATGGTCGCCTCCAG